TTTTCCGGTGTCCCCCTGTCCCCACCCCCTGCGAGAGAAACTGTTACTAGCTAGGGTGTCGCCAAAAATACTTGGCATAACAGTGGGAAAAATTCCACAGAAAGAAAAGGGAAGAATTCAACCCCCAACACTCATAAGACCATTGAGTCCAGCTATCAGCCTTTTTCGCCACTAAACCATATCCTCAAGTGCCGCATTCATGCGCCTTTTGAACCCGTGGAGGGATGGTGATTCCACCACTTCCATGGACAGCCTGGTTCAAAGCCTGACTACCCTTTCCATGACAAAACTTTTTGTAATATCCAATCTAAAGGCTATTTCATCTGGTCCTCTCACTTGTTACATGGGAGAAGAAACCAACCCTGACCTGACTACAACCTTGTTTCAGAGACTACTTTTAGACACTCCCTCCAGACCTATAAATTTAATATATGTAAATCACTTTTTTCTGCATTTTCCTGTGATTCCCATTCAATCTCAAAGCACTGATGTCATTCATCAATGTGAATGATTTTCACATTGTAAGTTGCCCAGATACTTTAGTGAGTTTATAGTACAAAATTGATGCATCTAGAAAAATAAACGTTGTTAAAGCAATGTTTCGCATGTGCTTTATATTCTGGTTTTAAGTAGATGTAAATTAGTATCCCATGCATTTAATTCAAATTGGCTTGAACTCCTATTAATAACAGCAGTGTATGCCTTTTCAAAGATGTAATTGCAAGAGTTCATGTCCTTAGCTACATTCCCATCTTCTGTAATGAGACTACATTTTGACATTTCCATATCAACCCTCCTAAAATTATTGTCATAGAAATAATCTTGTGAAAATATAATGAAAAAGGAATGGTGATTATCACTGGCAAGACTCTAATTTTAGGGCACTACTTCAGACCTGCAAGTGTAGTACATGTAAAGCATGCTGCATTTTCCTGTATTCCCAGGAAATCTCAAAGCATTGCCTGGCTGAACTGAAATTTAAATGACAAGCTTCAAAAAAAGGAAGGAAATGCAGTTGGGAACATCACTGATTTCAGGGGTAGCACTTCACCCTCGGGATCGGTGCTGATCAAATGCCACCGCACTGTTGGTGTGTGGGAGTAAGCACAGCGTAACCATAGCCCTGGTGAAGGGCAGCGAGGGTGTTTTGTGTGCTGCGTGTGGGATTCCTTCCTTACTAGCTGCTCTGTGCATTCCTGAGCTGCTACAGCAGTGCATACTTATTACCAACAGCATTATTTTACATTAGAGATAGTTGTGTAGGTGGGAATTCATCTGCCAGACATCTCGTTGAAAACACCTTCTAGTGTGAGCTGCTTGCTAGAGCACTCCTGTTCAGGCAGGGCACTCCTGAGCTAGGGAATCCTCATAGCCAAGATTGAGGCTGGAATGCCCAGGGTTTGAGCTGTTTTTCCTGGCAACCATTCTGCTAGCTAACTTTGAAAAGTTTCAGCCCAATCCAATGTGTTGCTAACTTACTTTAAAATCTCAAGCCTTGTGAAATTACCTTCTCTCTTCGGGTCCAGCCTTTGGAGAAAGAAACAGTAACACATGAAAGGAAAAGGAATTTATTTGCTGTTTATAGTAAAGAGTTGTAAGTATCTTTGCTAAAACTATATCAGTGCACATTTACTTGAGTAACAGTGAGTTTTGTTCCCTTAATTATTACTAGGATGGAATCGCCTGCCTTCTTTTTCTGAAACAAGGAAGAAGAATAGTTTGCTCAAAACCAAAAGGAAAGTAGGTGTCTGGCAGTTTCCTTAAGAATTAAGAAAATATATTTGGGATTCTGGAAACAGCTGTTGTCTGAGAGAAGCTTTAAGTTCGCTTCAAGATAAATACTAGTAATTTCACTTCTCCCTCCTATACTGCTTATAAAATACGTATTACTTAAATTTTGTGAGGGTGGAAGAAGGGGGTAGCATTACAATGGCCTGGTCTGGCTGTTTGCCTGACAGGAGGCCACGAAACTATCTAAGAACTTCTACCAAGCAGGAAATTACTTTCTATATTATGTAAGTGAATCCTGTAGAGTTTAATATTTTGAAGCTGAAATGGAGCTCATCTTTTGAAAACACACTCTATTTAAAGCAGTCAAGTAATGATGAATTTGCCATTTCATTAGACAAGTTTTTGCAGAGATTAATTACTTCTACTCTTAGGAACCTTTTCTCTCTAGTTATGATCTTTATGCTACATCTGTGCAAAGACAATTCTCCCCATCTTCCTCTTCCCCTTGTGCAGATGCATATAATTTATGCTTGTATGTGCAGCTCACAACACAACAGCCTCTTAACCTACTGACCTACAGAGATACGAGTTTGGCATCCCAGATTGGTTTTGCCTAGGTTTATTTTCAGCACATAAAGAAGTTATGAGTAATATAATTGAAATCTTCACAAAACTTTTGAGATCTTCAATTTCTATAAGGAAGAAGTATTATCTACCTAGACCTGTGCACCCTGCTATGTTTAGCTGAAACAAGGTCTGTGGCACCTTGCATGCGTGGATACTTGCACAGTGAGGAGCATGCTGGCTAGCATCAATTTTTGACTTTTAAAGTCAAGCTAAAAGAAAAATCAGTCCAAAATAAATATATTAACAATTCCCATAAAAACTGCTTTCATCTTTATTAGTGAAGTGGCTGGAGATATACACACTTTGCTTGCTTCTCCTTGATTACTACTATGTTAATAGTAGTTAGGGCATACGAAGTTTCAGTTTGGCTGAGCAGTTTATGATTTGGCTGTTTCCTGTAGAGTTCCTTGAAGTTAAATGCTTGTGGAGGCAAATTTAATTGATTGATTACTGTCTTGATCTCTAAAGCCAGGGCTAACTCAAGTAGCTTGCTGTTGTATTGAGAGGTTGGCTGTGTTTGCCTTGAGCCACAGTTTCTTTGTGGAGTTCAAGCACAGGAATTTTCCTTTCCTGTCGAATTAAAAATCAAGGTATTTAGGTCATGAGAAATCTGTAAGGAAGCTTGTTTTTCTTGTCCCTATACTGACTAAACCAAATTTCATTTGCTCTGATGGGTTCTATGTACACTCTAATACTCTGTGTGAGGGCTAGAGGACCTTAGGCATTGTTTTAAACAACTATCAGATCAGCTAACTTTGGAGGAAGCCTTTGATTTTGAATAAAAACTCCCGACCACCACCAATGAGGTGGGCTCATTCCTCTTGCACTTTCAAATCCTAGTATTATAAGTAAAACTTCTTTGTGAATAAAGGGTCTTTCTGGAAAACAATGTCCATCCAACTAGCAATTAAGTCTTCTATAAATCTTAGCATGCAATTGCAGCAAAGATCAGTTAAAGTAAGTAGTTTGTGATTGAATCTGAATCAAAGATTTTAACACCTGCAAAGATTCTACCTTGTTATTTAAGTCAAGCACAATACAATACATGATGCTCTTGAACTTTCTTGCCCATCAGTTTGTCAGAGAATAAGCAAGCAAGAAGAGCCTTTAAAGTCAGTCCTAACATCGAACTAACTGGTAGTCTGCAGTTACTTGGCAAAAAAGTAGCCTGTCAAAATCAGCTTGTAGTCTCTTTTGTAAAGAGCTTTAAAAGATTTCCAGGGGTTTTGCTGTGATGGATCTCAGTGTAAATGTTCTTCAGCCCTTTTTGTTTTTTCTTTCACAATGTAAGATCCTCTTCCCTTGACGTGGCTTTATTGCCTCTTGGATAAAAAATTGGTTTGGAGGTCTGTTTTATTGCATTAAAGAAGTGTTCATGCATTAACATGAGTAATACTTTGACCAAATGGATCTATACCCTGCAGTCAAAATGCAAACAACAGTGTGTATTGACAAAATATATTCAATAATATATTTTCTCATTAAATCTAGCATAAAATAGACAGGATAATTTGGTATCAGATTTAAACTTTCATGTTACTCTGCAAGTGTATAGATACTGACTAATTTGTTTGCTTCTTTGAACATATACTTCCAAGGCAGAGTTGAAGAAGGTAATTACAATCCAAGTCTCTTTTCTATTACCCACACATTAATTTAATTGAAATTAAGTAAGTACAACTTCATGAGATGGATCTATTTTCATTTCAATACTGCATTCTCAGAGGACACTAGAGGATATAAATCAACAGGAACTACTCACTAAAGAAGTAATAACGCCCTCTGGAAATGCTTCAGCTGTGTGCTCTCAATCATAGAACCTGAAAGAACAGGCATAAAGACCTTAGAGATTTTTGGATTTGTATGTTCACTAGAACATATACTATTAAAAAATAAAATAAAACTCAGGGCAATGACTTTTTAACTACCATTTGATATTTACAACCATCGAACAATACAAGGAAATACAAAGCTGAAAAGATCTCTTCTGACAGATTTTTGTTGTCAGCTCATATAAGGTAGAAAGTAGCTGTGCACCAAATCTGAAAGGTGGATCTACTTGTTAATGTGCTCATCTGCATTTTTATCATTCTAAATACCTCTATTAATCTCATATCTTCCTTTGAACCTTCACTAGGACTTCTGTATTTTGATAACAAATAGAAGAAAAAACTGTAGGGTATTCCTGGTAAGTTGCATGGAGAAAAAAGATAAAAGTAATGCTATGTGCATTTGCAGGAAACTTAGGCCAGGAATAAATTCCACTTTCATCCCTTTCTAGAGTGAGTGATCCCATTCCTCCCACCACAGGCTGTACCTCTTTTTGCTTGGCTGTTCTTCCTTTGGTGCCAGCCTCTGTTCTCCATGTAAGCGTGTGCCACAGACTCTCCACAGTTGTAGCTGGCTTTGTCCCAGTCACTCTGGCATGCTGAGACTGTTTCTTTATCTCATTCCTGCTGCTGAGAAACAAAACTGAGTGTTCTTTTGGGCAAGGATTTCAAGAGATGTAAATGGAGGCTGTACTTATCATCAGCTTTATCTGGATGGCATTAAAAAGCCTGGCTTCGGAAAAGGATCTTCCTGTCCTGGCTATCAGAAGCAAAATTTGCAGTGTGGGAGCTTTGCTTGTCTTGTTTTCCTAGTAGGGCCTCTTCAGATGATTGATCTTTTCTAGCTGGGGTGAGCTGACAGCCCTTTTGCCTTGTCCTGGGATAAAGTAACAAAGCTCTGAGCTCAGCAGACTATGTTGCCCCACCTTGAAGAAGCACTAGAGACAGCCATAAAATTGCATGTCAGTTGTTAGCCCAGCCTGGCCTCCTCCTCTGAGATGTTGCAGCATCAGCATCTGCTCAACCTGGGAATGGATGGTTCTTCAGCAACCCAGAAGCCAAGGTTGTTTTGTGATGTTTTGGTTCTTACTTGATCTAATATAAATTGTGTCCCTAATTCACCCGTGGAAGATGTTTTGAAAGGCACAAATGCAGACCTGCACTTAAGTCTTATGATTCAGGCTTCAGAAGTCCTAAGATTTAGAAACAAAGGAAGAGACAAATTCTGTAATGTTTTCTTAATTTCTTGTACTTAAGGGCACAGTAAATGTAGTTTTGTTAGAACTGAAATTAATATGGAAAACTGTTCACTTTATAACAGTCTTGCTTTGTTCTGTACTTTTTGTCATGTGGTTCCCGTTGAAGGTAGTGGTGAGTGCACGAGATAATGCACGAAAAAGTATTTTTTACTCGACATGTGACTACAGAATAAAATACACTTTTCACTGTTTTCCATGTACATGAATCTCTAAAAGACTGAAAGACCTTACATAGGTTTCTGCTGGTGAGACAGGTTCCCTGGTGGCCTGTTAGAGCTTGTTGTCCTTCAAAATGCGTGAGTGCAGCTACTGATCATGGTCAAATGGCACTCGTGAATGGTTTTTTTCTTTAATTTCCAGTCACTTTCTTCTTTTTGCATTTTGCCTGTGATATGTGACAAACTAGTGTCATTGGCTTTCCTAGTGGATAAGGGCATTTTTCTGATTTTTTGTGTGTTGCCTTTATTTCTTCCCTGCATCTCATGGCTTTTTACAAAACTGTTTTATAAGCAGACAATGAGTTATTTATATAGAACCAGTCTTGTCCTCTTGTTCTATACTTCATTTATTTAGTAATATTTAAAAATTGCTTTGGATAAATGTATTTCCAACACACATAACCCAACAAAAATTACAACCAGTGTTTGTTGAAGGAAAAGTATTGGATAGTCTCCTTTCTTTGTAGCTTTTTAAGAAAATACAAGTCCTCATGGAAGGAAAAACATTAGACTGAAGATTAATGTTTTATCCTTAATTACAAAGAGATTTTGCTTTAAAATAAAGTTGTAAAAATTAACCTTTACATTTTGGCTTCAATCCTAAAACACAGATTGGATTAATTCCCCTCTTGGACAATGAGAGTCAATATACTCGAATTCTTACTGCTCCTATTAAACCTTCCCTTTATTGTTCAAATTAAAGAAATCATTTGCCAATAAAACATAAATAAAAATATATTTTCTAGAAAAAGAAGAATCCAAAGTGGGTGGATGAAGAAGAGAAGCCTGAGCACTTTATATTTATCAACATCAATCCTTCAGTTTCCAGATTTCTAGTAAGATGGCTTCTTCCTTCTGTCTGCAGAGCTCTTTCACAGGAGTGAACAGTGGTGCCATGATGAGGCTCAAGAATTCGAGACAACTATTGCAGTACTTTGTGTATTTCTTGAAGAGCTGAGCTCCCATCAGCTTTTGCTTTTCTGGTAATGTGCCCAATTTGCTCCTTTTCCTTCACGGAAACTTAAAATAATTGCTGACAGTTTTAAACCTGAGGGCAGGTAGGTGACCTACAGATGAAAGCCACAGTGCTGAGAGCTCCTGATTCAAACAATGACATTTTTTGTTCTTCACCTCACCTATTACTGTACAACATGGATAATAAGGAAAAAGCTGAGACCTTGGCACTGGCTCTGTCATTTCAATTTTTCAGTTCATTGCAAATAGGGCTCTGTTGCTCTTAAATAGCCAGGATTTCTTGAGTATCTTACTATTGGAAACTTACTGCATTTGATATATAGCATTTCTGTAACAAAAAGCATTCCTGCCTCAAAAAGAATAATCTGTCCAAATGAAAATAAAATGCTGGCATGCTTACAATTAGGTATTGCTTAAGCAGAACATTCTGAAAGATGTTCTTTTATGAAGCTGTTGCTTGTTTCTTTTTTTACCCTCTCCTGGAGAGTATGAGATTTTTCATTACAAAATTACAAGTGGCACATGTTGTGTAAGTCATATCTGCACTACAGGTATCTGTGCTAACCATAAACATGACCCAAGGCATATTAGTCAGCCATGGAGAATCACTTGTCAAATAAAGCCTGTCTGCAGGAGGACAGAAGATGCTTACTAGAATTCAGTGAGTTTCAGGGGTGGTCCCTGCTGCCATTGCCACTGCTCCTCCAAAGGCATGTTAATTAAACAAGATGCAAAGAAAATAAATCTGTCATGTTCTTGTGGTCAGAATCCAGGTAATCAGAGGTAACAGATGATGACTGAAATGGTTTCCGAAAGCTTTGCTTTGTTTTTGTTTTTAAAGAAATTGTTCAATAGATACCAGGTTCATTGAAATTAAACTGAAAGGGTATTTTAACTTACTCCTTGTGTTTAGTTCCTCCTTTGATACTGCAGAAGCCCAGCAGATAATGGGCTGGTGTGTATGTCTCAAATGCTGATAGCTGGTTGTGTGCTTATAGTAGAAGATAACGTATACCAGTTTCCATGGCAAATGTGTAATTTACTAATAAAACTCTGTATGTTTTGCAGATTATCTGGCTTTTGTCATTTTTTTCAAGTTCACATCTACTAATCTCAAAAGTTTCCTTCTCTTTAAGGATGGGATGTCACAGGATATTAGGCATATCAGTGTATAAGGAGCTGTTCCAAATATATCCATCTCTCAAAAATAAGTGGCTATGCAGCTCAGGGAAAAAGAGCTTTCTGATCCTGTTGGATTTCAAGAAGAGAGTATACTCTTACTCAAACTTTGGTTACTAAAATCACTCAGATTTTGATCCACCTGGCCAGAGATGAAGCTGATAGTGACACAGTGATCAACAAAGTCCTACAGTTTCACTGTAATGAATATCTATTAAAATCACTGCTGAAGACTCACCTGTAAAGACTCAAAGGAAGTTGCTGTATCAGGTTCAAATCATATGTAATTCTAATTTATGTATTTTATTGCAAGTTCTTGTGTTTACCATTAAATCTAGTACTAATCACAGTACAAACAATGTGCTGTAATGGAAAAATAATTGTATTTTCATTTTTATTTCTCTTTCAAAACTATAATTTCTCTTGACAGTAATATATGCCAAAACTTTGCCACAGCATCCTTCTTCTACAGAGCACAGCTTACCCAAAATAATGAAGGATTTGTCAATAGCATCAGGATCTCAGAGGATGACTTAGGTAACTCTAAAAATTGTATTCCTAATAGAAAATAACAAATACCTGCAATAAATACGGATTTACGTATAAATGCTGCCTAGTATCTTGGAGTGTATATATATATATATATATGCATTAAATAACGTAGCAGAGTTAGAAGATTGCAAAGTTATCAATGACTCTGGTGTCTGCAAATTGATTCATTATATTAGTAACAAAGCCTGTAATTCACTTTGGGGGAAGAGAGATAGTCTTTGTGTGGGAGATTAGTATTACAGTAAGTAGTACTTTGGATCTTCTATTTTAATCATCCGTGAAAGAATGGAAAAAGTGTCCTGTGTTGTATTGTGTCATCATCTCTACAAGACTTAAAAGCCACATTCCTAGAGCTCTTTTTAAAAGCATGAAATGAAGGGAAATGTCATGTTTGATGAAAATGTGTGATTAAGGCTGGGAGTTTATCTGGGAGACGCTGATTTTTTTTCTCTGTTTTCTCATCTTTGCAATAGGGATGAAGAGAGGAGTTTGCTTTTCATTCCAGTATTCTTGCTAGAGCATTTACCTGCTGGGCACCCTGATTCCCCCTCGGTGCAGGAGGTGCAGCCATAGCCCCTGTAGTGGGGCTCCTGCCCCGAGGGTACCACCTGCAGTGCCCTGACTGGGATGGGGCGAGGCACTGTCCTCTCCTTGGGCCACATGAACTGCAAGTCCCTCCTGGCCCTCATCCCAGTGCCCTGAGAACCACTTTGGCTTTGCTGCATGGGGTCAGGGGAGCCATGCAGGGGCTTTCCTGGGGCAGGATTTCTGGGTGAAAGAAGCAGAGTGGAGAACGTACGTTTTTAAATTACTTCCCCATGCCAGCATGCCTGTATTCCATAGGTCTTGCCAAAATGAGCTTTAAATAGTTCAGACAGTTTATACAGACTAATGAAATAAGTCAGTGTTGATGCTGGCACTCGAGCCACTTTGTTTCTAAAGGCTGTTCACTGAGATTGGAGCACTGCCATGACCCCAGCACTGGCCTGAAATTATAATGGTGGGTAGTAAAGAGACAGCAGAAATAGGTCAGGAGGAGCATCTACCTGGGAAAACGAGTCAAAACCTTGTCTTAGTCTACAGCACGATTAGAGGAGTTTCATGCTATCTGTCTTTAAGGTCCCAAGTCAGGGAAGGAGATGGAAAGCTGGTCTTGGTATGGTCTGATGTGGCCATGGTGGCAGGTGAGCCCTCTTCAGGGGCATTTGGGGCAGTCAGGTCAGTGAGTGCATTTCTGGATTATTGTAAAATCTGAAAGTGGCATTTTACTGTAAGTATTTGATGAAAAAGAGAAAAGAGATATCCCAGAAGTCGGCCTGAATTTGGGAATGACAGTGTCTCTGCTGCAAGCCTAAGAAGTCAGAACAGCTTTGGCCAGGGACTTAGTTACCCGTGTTTAAATGAACTCCAACAAATTCTGAATTTCTGAAGTGTGCTCAAATATACATAGGATTTTTTCTAAAACCATCTGTCTGGGTCACTGTGAATATTTGGCTGCCTTCATTGTAGTGGTACTACATGCCACCTCATTTCGATGCTTATCCAAATGTTCTGGAAAAGATCCCTCCTGCAGGGCTGGCTAAAAGCCACTCCTCCTGCTCTTGTTTGCTCTAGTTGAGCCTGTGGTTGCAAGTCTAAAATAAGCATTCTGAAACCAGCTTTTCTTTTATCTGTAGTGAAGCTCATCTCTTCCGGTTAGAGTCAAAGGCTGCATGTCAACTTGTAAAACATGAACAAATTGAAGGTTGGCACCAGATTTCCAAGCAATATGGGTAAGGAAGGCTGAATATACCAACAGGCCATTTGTTGGTTTTCTAGTGAAGGTCTTCAGTTATGAAGAGCAGAACTTATTTCTGCTGATGTTGGTACTTGGTGGTGTTTATTTGCAAGCAGCAGCAGCAGGGTTGTAAAGCCATCTGTTTACAAATCACAGTTTTTGACATGGGCTTAATCACTCAACTCAAGAATGCAGTAACAAACTATTTACATTTCTGTGTCTGACAGAAATATGTGCTCCTTCCATTCCCTCACATTCCCTCCTTACTTGCTCAGCATCTCCTGTTCTACCAGAGTGTTCTACTGAAAATGCTCTAAAGCAGATCACTTAGCATTTTGCTTGGGGACTCAGAGCAAGGTATTTGCTCTTAAAAGCATGTCATTTGTCACTGGCAGCTGTCAGGTTTACCAGATGCTTTTGAAATGTGGTTTTTGAGCTGACTCCAGTATTCTGGCACTGCAGCTCTTGCAGAGCACACAGGTATAGTGCCCATGTTTCCCCCTGTTCATTTAGCACTTTCAAAACCTGTGTTTGCTACATTTTGCACATTTCCCTCCAGAGCTGCACTTGGTGCATATTCTTACAAGTATCTGGCTGCCTCTGGGTATACAAAACAGGATGAGAGTCACAACAATTTCTGTGTTCTGATCTCCATGGTGAATTTTCTCCCAAAGAGCCACAGGTAGGTGCTTGCATCACTTGAGGCTCTCAGTGACAATGGGAGTAGGTACTGGCTTCACATCCCACACTCTGCTAGTTCCAAGATTTTCTGAAGTTTTTTAACAAGTATTTTTAGATTAGCCAGCGGGCATCTAACACTACAAGCATGTTTCTGTGGAAGCAAAGGGTTCCTTTTAGCATATCTGTAGACAATGCAAAGATTTCGTGGATTTTAAACTCCGTGCCTTGTGTTGAAGAATACTCAAAAACCTGCCTATGCTGTCTGTCCACAAAGTCTTAAAATTATATTTGGATTTACTTCTGGAACATACAACAGTGTGGAATAATTTAACTGGAATTGACCCACTGGCCTGAAAGTGCCACTTGCGTGGACTGACAATCAGCATTTTGATAATAGATCCTGTACTTGTATTAATTTCCCTCTCTCCTATTTATTGCCCTTAATTTCCTTCTCTTCTACCTAGAATCTGAAGGAATCTTTTGTTGAAATAGGTAGTGACCAGATGGCCATGAAGATGAGTCTTAACACTTAGATGGAGAATGGAGATGTCTAGTCCAAGAGCACTCTAGTCCAGCTGCCTCTAAAACCTGACTTAGTTCTTTTGATATTAGTAATAATAGAGTTTAATCACACTGGTATCTCATAATACCTCCATTTAATTATTTTATGTTAACAGTAATAGTATTATACAGCTCCTTTACCAGAGCTATCACACCTTTAAAAATGTGGAACTTCTCTGCAATTTAGTGAAAAACAAGTTTGAAATCTCAACAATCATCATTCTCTGAGAAAATGAAACATTTTGTCAGAAATTTTGTCCATCAGCCCAGACCATGACAAGAGACTTCAAAGCTCCCATCTGTGTTTCTCTTGACATTAACTAATTGTGAGTACAGTGATTTGTGCAAAAGCTGTTGTATGATGGCACTGGATTACCAATCTGGCTGATTGGGTGAGCAGTGACATTGGCTTGGAGGGAAAATGCACAAGTGCTTTCACAGACACAAGCCAAAATGGAATTCAGTCAAATAACTCACAAGAAAAAAAAAGAGAGAAAGCAAAGAAAAACTGGAGGTGGAATGAAACATAATGCAAAAAGGAAGACCCCTATATTTCTGAGGTCGCCCAGGCTAGCAAGTATTATTCATTTGTGACAGAATCCATGTAGAAGCTGAGGAGGTGAAAAGACCAGAAAATACCTACTGTATGTGTCAATGTTTGCACCATTCAGTGTTGTTCCACTACAACAGACACTATAATGGACTGTATTATTTATGTCCTCCACAGCCCTGATCCCAGCAAAACAAATGCTATCCTTGAGTAAGCAGAATATTTATACTGTAGGTCCACACTAAGGATGGATAAAGACATATAGTGCTTTAAAGAATATTTGAACTTTTAAGTTCAGAATTTCTTTAAACAGTTTAAAATAAAAATAATTGTTTTCTTATGCCTCAGACCATTAGTTAGGGGTTTTTTAAAAAAATCTCTTTCAGATTAATTTATTTCCCAATGGACAAAATGTGGGAAATGTCCCTAAGAAAAATATCTTAATTAAATCAGTGATTTCATTGTATCCCCTGCTTTTTCTGCTGTTTATTAATGTTTTTCATTTTCAAGCTTTGGTTTCTCCCAGAGTCATCATCAATGACTTGAGAGACTATTTTGAAGCAGAAGCACCAGCCTGCTTAGGCTCTCTGGTCTTCTCTCAAAGACCACAGAAGCAATGTGTGGCTTTCAAGTCTTATTGTTTTTACAGGTAGGAAATAGGTGAGGATTACTAACCACTATGCACCTCTGAAAAAGTAACAGACAAAACAACCCTTCCTAAAAGGAGACTAACAAGTAAAGAAAAAAGCCAAACAGCTTAGAGGGATGG